CTATGACTCTTTCTCACAAAAATGTTGTGAACTTCTGGTAAAGATGATATCCTTCCAAGGTTAAAGAGAATACAAATGGATTAAAATGGTGAAGAGATAGAAAAGAACTTTGTTTACAAAATGAATAATTAACTAATTTCGTGGTCCGCTTGACCAATTAATATATTAAAATTAATTAAGGTTTTTAGTTGAGATACAAAAGTCAATGGCACGAGCGGGATTCGAGCCCACGATTTTCTACTTGATACGCCGCTGCTCTACCACTTGAGCTATCGTGACCTCGATCCACTCGGACACCATTTTCCATCTCTGAACCTTTTGAACCCCACCTTTTGAATTTTCCCTCATTTTTGAAAAATGGCTGGTTCGAATACCGCTCGTGCCATTGACTTTTTCATCTCAACTAAAAAACTTAATTAATTGTGATATATTAATTGGTCAAGCGGACCACGAAATTAATGAATTTAATGATTTGGAATGAAGTATACTTCAGTAAAGCTCTCCATGAGTGACCATTTCATTTGTCGTCGAGAATCCAATCTGATTACACGACATTTGAAAAATGGCAAAAAGGAGGGAAAATTCAAAAGGTGGGGTTGAGATGGGAAGTTGGTGCCCGAGTGGATCGAGGTAACGATCGCTCAAGTGGTAGAGCAGCGGCGTATCAAGCCGAAGATCGTGGATTCGAATCCCGCTCGTGCCAATGACTTTTTTATCTCAACTAAAAACCTTAAATAAAATGAATAATATTCTTCATGGTTACTATTCTTAGTTAGTAATCATTGTAATTAATAAATCCCTTATTAAAAATGAGGAATAACATTTGCTTGTTTTTGATTTGTGTTTTCTATTTTGTTTTATCCAACCAACAAGATTATCTGGATTAATTTAATTAAAATTATTAAAACAAGAATAAATTACAAATATCCCTATTTATTTTTGAGCAGTTTAGTAAAACTTTGGTATCTAGTTAAAAAAACTTCAGTTTATCATTTGTCCAAATTTTGTATCATGCTCACACCTGAGGATAAATCTCTATGTATAACAAATTCGTTCTCAATATGGTAAAATGGGGAATCTTAGAAAATTGACACACAAAGGAAAAGAGGGTTTATTTAGCCTACGTTCCTAATTACATACAAAGATCATTGTGCAAAATTAGTTCATAATCTGATGTATTATCAACTCTAAAACACAGTTGCAAATTTACTTTAACTGCAGCTATTGTATGGTGTACAATAGTAAATGGGAAACTTAGAAATTAGTTTTCCTGGGGGTGAAAAACCATCACCTCCGATATCGATCGACATGGACCTTTCAGATTCTGTGCAGCAATTGGTTGAATCGGAGGGGAATGTTTTATTGTAAACGGCATTCTGCCTCACCCTTCATACTTGCTGGATTTCTCATTTTAGTTAGTTCCAGCCATTAAAGGGATACGATAGGATACGAAGAACAGCAATGGATTCTTAATGCCACATACTTACAAGTTATTGTAGGACGCAGAACAAATTTACTATTGTAAAATGTTTTAAAATATATTTATATCATATTCAACACAAAAGTAATTAATACAGATTATTAGAAGAAAAAGTATTCAGTTTCTTTGTCAGGATCTACATCTTCTTCCAGTCTCCTTATGACTTCACAATGGACGAAACAATAAGTTGAAGCATTGAATGTAGACGATCATATTTTTACACATAGACTTTGTGAATTAGTAATTGATTCATTGTCTTGATGAAGAAGACAAATTCCAAGAAAGCTTGTGGAAATGCGTTTTTTCTTTTGTTAAAATTGGCCAAAATACCAGAAAGAAGAACCAAGCCGGTAGTAATATGCTGTGAAAATAATCATAACATTCAGTAGCGTCGATGTTCTGGAAAAAAACATAAACAAAGGATTTTATTGCTCAAAACCTGCTTCTCATATAACGTTTTTAAGAATCAATTAGCCCATTCCATTTGGTCGCCTATTGAGTTAATCATTCTGAATATGTGCGATACTGGAATTATTGGTTTCGTTCATTACAAGAAACAAGAATGCTTCATGCAAGAAAAAAGAAAAAGAAAAATGCTTGTTATTTCAGTGGGATGGTATTCGACTTTTGGATTATTTAACAGTGTGTCGCTACGTTTTCTTCAGTTTTTCATTTATGAACATTGTTGAAAAGAACCAACTTTTCTTCCCTCTATATCAATCTTTTTAATAAATTGGTCTTTTATTTACGTTTTCGAAGGGAATCATATATGATCGGACATGGGTTCAATAAATTATTCTAATATAACATATATATATATATATATATATATATATATATTGACCCCGCGGAAGGGAGGTGTTTTTCTTCGTCAGTTAAGTTCGATATTTCGTATTATTACAAGTTGTGGCTAATTTAAAAAGTGAATTTTAAACATTTAATGATTATATAATAATATTGTTAATCACTCACTTAAATTGTTAGGAAAAGTTATATGTGTAATTTATTGATACTTTAAAAATAATACTATCCGTAAGTTGATTTCTCGGTTCAATAGTCGAAAGTATGGTAAAAAAGATGCAAAGAGCTCCGATATCCTTCGACCGTTGATTATAAAAAAATTAAAGCTTCTAGGTTGTCAATCAATCAAAATTTGTAATAAATTGATCCACCCTCAACGACACCAAGCAAATATGACACAAAAGCGTTTAAACGCATCCGAAAGCAACTGGGTATGAGTTTCAGAGTGATATATATATATATATATATATATANAATGTAAAGCATGTCAAATTGAACCGACTAGAAAGTCAACATTTGACTCCAGCTAATACAAAACCAATCATCACTACATCGATAAGTATATGGACGATCCTCATGTATGGACTCATTCTACTACTATCTGGGTATGGAATCATCCGGTATATCTTCGCACGACAGCAACTTGCAGCAGCTGCCGCCTCCGAAAATCAACATTCTCCGAATGTTTCATCTAGGGGTGGAGGAGTTACGCCTGCACGAAACCACTAATGCAGCAACAAACGATTCTTCCCATATACAAATTCCGAGAATAGATTATAAGCATAAAATGTAGATTGTATTGTATGACCCCTTTCTTTCGCAGATCCTCTCGGGACTCCGAACAGTACAGACACTTTAAATTAGAACCCTTGTGTAAAGTTGTAGTTTATATTGAATAAACCTTATTTTTAAAAAATTAGTTTCTTACATCGAAACCATAACTTATATATATATAAGATATATCTAGAAGCTTTAATTTTTTTATAATCAACGGTCGAAGGATATCGGAGCTCTTTGCATCTTTTTTACCATACTTTCGACTATTGAACCGAGAAATCAACTTACGGATAGTATTATTTTTAAAGTATCATTAAATTACACATATAACTTTTCCTAACAATTTAAGTGAGGGTTCCCTCTTTACGGTAATATATAATCATTAAATGTTTAAAATTCACTTTTTAAATTAGCCACAACTTGTAATAATACGAAATATCGAACTTAACTGACGAAGAAAAACACCTCCCTTCCGCGGGGTCAATGTTGACTAAAGGATCCCTTTCTCCCACTGCTACCTAAAAGAACTATCGAGGAATTGACTCTTCTTTTTTCCAGGCTCGAAAAGTGCCCAACCCTTAACGTAGTTTAGCACTTTCCGGGGTTTCTATTCGCCAATTCTTTAAGCGTCAAATTCGCTTTTAAGAAGAAGCTGTACTGTTTCAATCACAAAGGACGTGCTGCAATTTCTCCAGTTTCTGCATCGTCATGACAGAGGCGGCAAGTTTCAATCTGGTTTTCCTGTTTTCTATAGTAATTAAATTGGTTTTAGCCAGTATAGACCAAATATTTCCTCAGTTCCTGCCTACTAAAAGTTAGGTAAATGTTTGCTGGATGAGTTGTTAGTAAAATTCTTTGACGGTTTTTCATCTGCAGACTTTGTTCAGTGTGAAATCATTTCCTTCTCCTTGATCCTCAATAACACCTTAACTAATTATATTTTAGAGTTGGTAAACAATAATGACTAAATATACTTTGAGGCAAAACAGAAGAAAGATAAAATTGAGTTATTGGAAAACTTTTGGGATTTATTTTTCACCTCAATATTTATTGGCCTTTATTTCTATTTGTGTTTTTTTTTTAATTTTCAAACTTTCGACGTTTAGCAAAATTATTTTTTTTATGGAAAGTCGGCTGTAATGTAAAAATAACGAATTCTTTTTATAATAAGACGTTTTATTTTCTTTCATAGTACAAAAAGCTGTACTACTTTTTGTATTAGTAATGTAACGCTTAAGATGTGCTAAAAACCAATCATGTTTTTGATAGAAGGATAGTAAAACCAAAATATAGTACAAGAAAAAATAATCAATTTTCTACCCATAAAATTTAATAAAAACATAATTAAACATTATTTTTATTCTACTGTTATTATGTTTTGTTACAAGACTTATGTCGAATCCTTTGTTTTAACATCGTAATTTTCAAAGTGCCTTTTTTTAAATAATGTACTATTGACCGGAAAGACAACAGGCAGCAAGCCTCCCCTTATTTTATCTAATTGTTCCGGTTTGAGATATAAATAAAACATTGAAAAGCGAACTTGCGTTGATGATTAAGTTCTTGTTATAATCTTAGTTTCAATTGACAGATTTGTTAAAAATAATCAATTTAGACCAACTATACATATTTTGAATAACGTTTGTCATCGATTTTAGTTGGGAAAAAATTTCTATTTATTTTTGGACCATCAAAGTTTGCTACCTGTCCTTAGGACAAATTTTATATAAAATTGTGGCTTACGATTAGCTAACAGAAATATTAGTTTAATAAAGGTTTAATTTTTGGTTTCTATGGCAATAACCATCGAATAATCATGAATGCCAATTGTCTAGTTTGTAGCCATTCCTGAAACTAGCCTTGTGTTTGCAAACATGCCCGTTGTCATAATATTGTTAGATTTACATTATTACCATTGAACAAAAGCGATTATCGTTTTCAGTTTCGCCGATGATCTGGGTGCCGAATCAGCTCGTAGGAGCTCCAGCGGGGACGGACGTGACCATTGAGTGCAACACGGAGGCCTACCCGAAGGCGATCAGCTACTGGGTCTATGAGGGCGTCATGCTGCTCCCGACCAAAAAGTACATATCAAACATACAGGAAAACTCTTATAGGACATACATGAAACTGACAGTGAGAAACCTCACGAGCCGAGACTTCGGCAGCTACAGGTGCATATCGAAAAACTCGCTAGGAGAGACGGAAGGGTCTATTAGACTTTACGGTAAGGACTGGCATTATCGTTATTTTAATGGAATTTAAACTACAACGGATTTATATCAACGGTATTTCGACCAAGGAGGATAAATTCCGGTCAATCCATCGTCAATATTTCATCGAAGAGTATACGGCTCATTTACGCTGTTGTTAAATCAAATAATTACTAAATCAAATAACGATATATTACTATTTGCGCTAATATCTCAAATATGGTGTTCGGCTGGGTGAAAGAGTTAACATGATAAATATATACAAAAAATATTGAATAATGAAAGAAAAATGAAATAGTGTAATCGTAAAAAAAAAAATTATAAGGAAACGTAAACAAGAAAGAATAAGGTAACTTTCCTTTCTTGCTCCGGGAAAGCAGGCATCGAGACTATGCAGGACTTCGGACCCAAATCAAACTGGCGAGAAGAGTGGTTTGGAGAGAAAGAAGAATTTTTAAGATAGAGAAAATGGTAGGTAAAGAAACGGGTAAATAGCTCACATAGCAGCTAAGACCAACAGCCATGAGAGATCGAAAAATAACAATCTCTTCTTGTCCGGACGGAAGGAAAAAACAAAAACAATTAGGAAGTTGCTGTACAAAGTTATGAAACTCATAACGTCCCGAAAGATACTTCTAGCGACATATAGTAAATTATTTATTTTTGTAAGCACAATTTTTCTAAAATAAAAATTTAGTTAATCTTAAATGTAGTAAGATGAATGCTAATAATACTTCTTTCATTTAATTAAACTTTATGTAAGGTATTAGTTGAAAAGGAAAAAGTTAGACTTGAGCTATTGTGATTAAGTGGCTAGAGCAGCGGCACATTGAGCCGAGGGTCGTGAGTTCAAATCCCGCTCGTGACACTAAATTTTTCATTTCAACCAACATCTTACGTAAAGATTAATTAGTTGATAAAAGGTATTTGGTCCATCGGAACACAAATATAATCGAATTAATAATGCTTTATTTTTATTATATCAATTTGTTCTATTATCATAATTAGTATTATCCAAAGCTGATGAATCAATAACAAAAGAAATTCAAAAGTATAAACACATATCACAGGTCGGTGACAATAAAAAGTTCAAAAAGGGCATAAAAAACCACTGGGATGAATGGCTTGACAGATTTCCTTACTTTCAATCCGAAGAGTCTGGAAACTGAAAGTAACAACCCATGATAACATATCAAGTTGTCTTTTCTATTTCACGGTGTACATCTCTTACAATTTCAGCTCCGTGGGATCTTTCAATTCCGACATGCTGTCAGGATTTTGGGTGTAATCGGATCTATTGAAAAAACGATTAAAAAAGTTTAAACTTTCTATTTTAATTTTTATTTACATTTATTGTTTTGGTAAATAAGTTGGTATATAATTGTTGTATATGTGTGTTGTTATATTAACTATATGTATTAACTGATGCTTGGCAAAAAAATGCGAATATAATGCTGTCTACACTGGGAGCTGCTCAAAGGAAACTAATTAGTGACTCGAGTTACCGATGTAACTGGGACACCACAAAGGACGTCACTACTGATTACTGAAGAATTATTAACGCGTTAATTCAGTTCAAGGCAACTCATTCCCAAGTCACTAGTAACTAATATTGCCCAGTTTGGAGAGGTTTTTCAAAATCGACCATAAACAGGTGAAAAAATTCTGTTTTATACTACTTTCCGCTTCTTAGATAGCTACTCGAAATATTCTGACAATGACAAGAGAGGAAAAACATGAACGCAAAATTTTCTTGGCATTATTTCTCTTCTGTAGTGTCTATAAGACAGTAAAATGGCAGCTTCATTGCTTGGATCATCACTGGAATTATCACTGGAATTTCATTTTTTTTTTAAATAGTAGCTTCGTGTGTTGATCCGCCCCTGATTCCAGTCATAAACCATTTCCTTTTCTTATAAGTAGCTCCGTTTGTAGACTCTTAAATTAAATTTTCTTTATAATTTCTATAAACAATAGACGAAAAAAGAATATAGCTATATTTATTTGTATTCAATTTGTTGTGTTAATAAAAGATTAGTTTTCATAAATTAAATTATTTCATTAAGTTATGTTACTAGTAATAATTTAGTAGGCATACCATTAAACCGAATTATATGTTCTGAACTGTTTGTAGGGTATGGAAAAGAACAACATAAAAAACTATGAAATAAACTGTTCTAGCTTACTGGGTCTTGCTTCTTGCTTTTGAACTCCTTTCTTTGCACATAATGATTGACTCATAACAGACCTGTTTTGATGAATATAATTTAAACGTCAGGATGATTACAAAAAAAAATTCCTTTGCTGAAAAATGGTGGCAATGTCTAAGAAATTAAAGACGGTGTCTTAAAAACGAAAGGGAAAATTTGAAATTGTAATATAATTCATAGCGTATCATCCTTGACTATATTATTCATCTTACGTGCAACTTATAAGATGTGTGCAGCAAATGTGACGATAAAAGAAAACCTATAATTCCAAACCTGATAAAAAGTAGATTGGAGAAATCACCCAATAGAGAATTGGTGACAATCCCTTATTCGGTATCACACACTGCAACAGATCTTTGGGAAATTTTAGCTCAAATGTGGTAGATTATTAAGTAAGGAAAACCATTGAAATATAATTAAAAAATACAGGAAAAAAGTTAAGATTAAATTTATTAGAAAAAGTATACATGACTATCCATAATTATAATGTAAATTTGCAAAATGATAAAAACAATTGTATATAGTAACATGATAGACATTTATTAAAAAGAAAATGTAAAAAAATATAAGCAAAACATACGGGAGTAATAATTGATAAGATATAATATACTTATATTTTAACACCAAAAACTAATGTAAACAAAAAGATGTTTTAAAGGATAGAAATGTAATTACCCCCGTAGAAGATTCATGTCATCATGTCGAAATCGTTCTGTTAACAAATAAATTTCCATGCTGCATTGTTCAACAACCTAGAATACAAATAATAATTTTTTTTTTAGAAATATTCTGAAATCAAGTTGGCTCTGAATACCTAGGGGAAACTTTATAAAGAAACGCATTAGAGTTCGTGGTCCGATTGATGAAATAACTTTTTTCAATTAATTAATCTTTATGTAAGGAATTGGTTGAGATAAAAGTCAGTGTCACTAGCGAGATTCGAACCCACGACCTTCGGCTAAATACGCCGCTGCTCTACCACTTGAGCATCGTGACCTCGATTCACTCGGACACCAACTTCCCATCTCAACCCCACCTTTTGAATTTTCCCTCCTTTTTGCCATTTTTTAAGTATCGTGTAATCTATTTGATTCTCCGCTCGTGACACTGACTTTTTTATCTTAACTAAAATCTTAATTAATTGAAAGGTATTAATTGGTCAAACGGACCTCGAAAACTACTGAATTTTATTCGTATATTTAGGATTTGAAATTTTTTAACACACGTATTACTAAATTTGAGTATAGATTTTTTTTATTATAACTGAGATTTGGTTTTGTTGTAGCCAAAAATCGAATAGAATACACGACATTTGAAAAATGGCAAAAAGAAGGGAAAATTCGAAAGGTAGGTTGAGATGGGAAGTTTGTATCCGAGTGGATCGAAGTCACGATAACTCAAGTGGTAGACCAGCGGCGTATTTAGCCGAATGTCGTGGGTTCGAATCCCGCTTGTGACACTGACTTTTTATCTCAACCAATTCCTTACATAAAGATTAATTTATGAAGAAACGAAAAGTTTTTACAGAAGATGGCGCAAGGGTAATAAGCTCTGGGGTTAGTTGAAAACAAAGTAAAAATGGTCGACTCGATTATCTAATCCATAAGAAATTTTAAGCGCTGTTAAAAAAGCGCTTTGGTTAAAAATACATTTAAATAACATTACCTTTTGCAATGGTAATGTCTATAAACATTATTTAATAAACTTGAAAGGCTCCAAACGTGAGTAGTCGGTGGTAAGAATTTCCAGCAAAAATGATAAACGGTGGAATAGCTGAAAAAACGTAGGTCTTTATATTCACCCATAAAGAAATAGTTGATTAGCTTACCACTCAAATCAGAGAAGGTAAGCATAAACTCTCCGATTAACCCTTTTCGGAAAACTCGAGATAAGACCGAAACGGAAAAATAGTTCTCATGTGTCTAAAACATTCGGGATTAGCTGATCAACTAAGGTACGGAAGTGGAGAAACAAGAAATTGACAAAAATTTGTAAATCGTACTTTAAGAGATTGTAGACGTTCGAGTAGGTTATTCTTCTAACAAAAGCCACAACCCTAGAATAATATTTGAAAATAGACGAGAGTGAGAAACAAAGGTAGGCTAAGTAGAGTTGTGGAAACCGCATAATCGGAAGGCACGGAAGCAAAGTACAACACCAATACATTATTAATCGAAGGTTAAAAAAAAATAGTCTAGGTTCGAGAAGCCCCATACTATTTATTGGGTCATTAATGTAACTATTTTTTTAAGCTCCAAATAATTTATGTTTACTGTACTGTCAACGAGTGCTGTGGCTTGACGCGTTTGTATGGTCTGGTTAGGTGATCAATGTCTAAATTCGATTATTTACTTTTACCTTAACGTTGATGAGCTAATGCGACTTCTGCTGTTACCAGGAGGATTAGGAACCGACCCTATCTTAACAATAACCCTAACCTAACCTAACTCGACCCTAACCCTACACATACCTGGAATAATCTTAACCTATGTTAACCCTCATTCTGATCCTAACTCTTCCTAACATAACCTAACATGTCCGTAACCTTCCCGGTTACACACTATCAATAATGGTCACGAAAAAATTGTATCTTGCCCGAAAATATATGCATGTTTAAATCTGTTTATCGTATCCGAATCACCAATTAGCAGATCACAGATGAAAGTTGGGCAGAAAAAAGAAAACCTAACCTAATCATAGCCATAACCCTACCAAAATTAACCTAACCTTCCTTAATTTAACACATCTTACCCTTCTTAACCTTCCTAGTAATGCAATAATGGTCATGCAAAAAATTATTGTGTGTCCTGCCCAAAATCATATCTATTCTTCCATCCATCTATCGAATCCGAATCATAAGGTTGATTGATTTTTTTATATGCTAGTGTGCCTTATTTTATATTCAAGCACTCTTTATGTTTTGCTAGTTTTACAGTTTTACAGCTCCACCAGCCGCTTACACCATAGAGTCGTCATATTGGTCTGTTTTAAACCCTTTCAATTGAAGATTTATATTGATTGTAAAACAAATAAGAACTATAAATAATAAAGATTATAAGCTATTTACGTTTCAATTATGTTTCAGAAATACCGTTACCTTCTCAACAGCCTAGGACCACAGAGATCGGAAACAGGGCCGGCAAGGACAGTAAGTTCTTCCAAATATATTGCAAATGAAGACCACATCGTTGAAAATCAAGGCTTTTTTTTAAACTGGAAAGGTATATCTGGACAAAATCAATGAAGCAGGTGGGGGTAGAACTACTTAGCCGGAGGGTAAGTGCCCCCGGAGGTAGTAAAACGCACCTTCCCTGTCAAGGGGAAAAAAGGGAGATACTTCCTGGCGGCACCTACAACTACTGCCGAGAAGTAATACCTTTTAAAGGGTTTTCCTCGCACCCAGATCGGTCGGCTAAACGATCGAAATAGGGCTAATTTACCGTTCACCTATGTCGAAGAGGCTGTGAAAATTTCATAGAATGATTGTGCAATTAAAATTTTCCCTTTGCTGCAAGTCTGACGCTTTGTTTTTTATTTACTCCGTAATTTTAATGAATTTTGAATTCGAAGAGAGAATTAATGCTGCCACTGTAAAATAATAATTAAATCACGATCTAAATTAAAATGAACACAGATAAAAAAGGTACTTGGTATTAATAGCGTTCTGGAATAAACTGATTTAACAGACCGAGTGCTCAACAGGTTAATTGAAATCATTATGTTTATTCAATACTAATATTGGCACAGAGCAAACGAATTAGTATCAGTGATTCAATCCGACAAATACTAAGTAAAGCCGATATACGTCAACGTCACATTAAAAACCACAAATTGTTTTAACACTAGGTACAAACGTTTTTTAGCATTTTTTATTTATGTACACTACAAATAATAAGCAATGGTCTATCAAAAAATAACGATCTTTATTGAGATCATCCTCAGGGATATATAAACATTGTTTAAATGTTACAAATACATATAACAAATGAGTATGAATTTATACAATGATGTACACAATATAGAAATTTTAGTTTTAATCAAAGTATTTGTACACACTCTAATCCGTATTTTGGACAAACCTAACCAAATCTAACACGTTCTAAAATACTAACCCTACCCAAATTTACCTTAATCTAATCTCAATCTTATCTCTATAAACCTACCTAACCTATATGACCTAAACTAATCCTTATATTAACATAACCTACCCATAACCGTAATCTGTACTAACATTAATCTCAAAATAAACTATAACTATTCTTTCCTAATCAATCTCTTATCCTAACTCTCCTTACTTAATCTAACCAAACTGTTTGTATACTCAGCAAGAACTCTAACCCTAGAAACCTAACCGTAAAATTAAATCTTACCTAACCTAAACTAACCTTCCCTAACCCTAACCTCACCCTATCCTTAACACTAACCCGCGTATAATAAGACCTAACCTTTTTTTACCCTACCTAACTCGAAATGATCCTATCTTATTGATAGGACTAACTATTCCTCTCCTGAACCCCTCATGAGCCGAAACCTTCTCCCTAACGCGAATTCGTCGACACGAAAATGGTCAAGATAAAGATGTGTGTATCCTATCCAAAAACGTCCGTCGGTTTCTCAGAAAGAACAGAAGAAATTGGTAAAATTCATAATTTCTTGTAGGTGAGACTTGTCGAAATTTTTGAGCATTAGTCTGTCAATTTAACCTCAAATATACACAAATCCACTTCAACCAACTTATGTACAACAATTTGGGGAAATAATTTTTAAAAAAGTAAAGATTTTTATACGTCTAATTTTGATGTTTATAGAATGAACATCTTCGTTAAATAGAAGCAGAAAATATTTTAAACTTTGCACCAGTTTTCAGACAAAAAAAAACTTGGTGTTTTTAATCCAAGAAAATTGTAAATCACATTTCAGATATTTTGAAAAGTTCAAAAAAATTATACTTAAAATATTTTTGGAATTTATAAAGCTTACAAGGAAATGAATGCAACTTAAGAATTTTGAATGAAAACAGTAAATATAAAACCTTTAAACTTTAACTTTGAGGAGTAATTAAGGAAAGCAAAAATAGAGAAATAAAGAAATTAAAAAAAGTTATTATATTCAGTGACAATTCATCAGTGTAGTAATCAATTCAATGTTTTTTCAACACTTTTCTACAGAAAAATAATCGGCAATGTAGATAAACGTATAGGTAGGTATATTTCCAAAGCTGCAAGATTTTTTCCGCTGGGTGGTTTCTCAAAGTAAAGAGTAAAGGGTAAAGTATTTAACTATACTTTAGTAAAGCTTTTCCCTTAACCTACCCTTCCCAGTTATATGCTTAAAAAAGAATAAAAAGTGGCAAGTATCCTAAGGAACGTTTGAATAGCTCATGGAGCACGTAAATGCCTCATACCTCTTGTACTGGTCGGCAGTTTAATTGGAAAGGGGGGCCCATTCTTGCGCTAAATATAAGTGTCGCTATAACGATTAATTTACCTACTTGAGAACAGTTTTTATACCAATTAGTTTAACTAATAATAACATCAAAAATTTCCTATATTTGCCATGTTTAAAAAATTAACTGAGTTCTCATGTTTTGGTTAATAATTTACTCATTTATTCAGAACCGTCAGTAGACTCCTATGTTGAAAATTGAAAGCTTTGTGTTCAAATAATACAGTATTCAAGTCATTAATTTAGCTTTATCTGAATTGCCATATTAGTTTACATGCAATCGCGATGTGATGTCACTTTAATATTTATTAGAACTTTTCGCATCCTCGAACCATCGTGAGGGTTAAAACTGCGAGCATTAAATTTTATATTTCTCCCCAAAATCGAAGAATGCCAAACGCAAACTATCGTAAATCCAGCACGGCATGAATAGGACTATAAATATTTCATTGATCTTCAGGATTAGGATCAAGCAGAACAGAAAGACATAAAAAAGTAGTGTACTTCGTCGAAACTTCAGAATTAAACGTGTTGTTCCTAAATCTTAACAATATATTGATATTTAATAGTAAAGTATTATCGCAGTATATTTTATATTCTTACGGGTTTGGAAACGAAAAGAATCTGACCTATTTTACTTGGCTGCTGTTAAAAAGAGGGTGATCCCTGTGATAACAAATGGGAGAAGCCCAATGTGGCTGTCTTACAGTGATAAACTATTTAAATGTGTGCGAGTGATTTCCTACCGTAAATCTTTTCCTAATTCGGATTTTAATTTGTCCCAAAGCAAAGTGAAATGTTTTTAGTGAGTAAATTGACAACATCATTGAGTTTAGTAAAAATATAATAATTAAATTATTTTTCGTGTTTAAAGTATTGGTTTTAATGTTTAACCTGTTAGAAGTAATAAAATCTTACCTAATTAGATAAAGCTGTACTTCTACTACTGACAAAAGCATAAAACATTAAAATGAATGTCTCATGTAAAATATTTTAATAAAAATTTCTACCTCCCTCAAGCCATCATGAATATTGTCGTTACTTAGAATGTATCAACATACTCTCAAAGATTAAAAAAACTGGTCACTCGTAATTATTTATTTTCCATAAAACTAGGTATAAGGATTAATAATTCATTTCAATTAATTAATCCTTTTATGTAAGGTTTTGGTCGAAATGAAAACGTTAGTGTCACTACGGCTAGCCGAAGGCCGTGGGTTCGAATCCCGCTCGTGTCACTAACTTTTTCATTTCGACCAAAACCTTATATAAAAGATTAATTAATTGAAAGAAGTAATTTGGTCAATAGACCATTAAATATAATGGAATTAATAATTTACTTAAAACGTAAACACAACATTCATAATTCATTGTTTACATTTATCAAGTGTTAATAATATTTTACGAACACTCTGGATCAAGGTATGGCCTCCACGAAGAAAAAAAATTTAGTAGTTACTGCCAAGCTTTGGACCTACGTTAAAGTCATCATCATGTCTACAGATTGACATATTTAAGTTCTACAGGAGATCTCGAAGTTCCTTGAAGACCGACTCAGTCCCAACATTACCAAGGACTGGAACAAATCTCGAACTGGTTCCGGGCTAAAATATCAAGTAGGAACAAATTTGACTTTTCGAATTTTGAAATAATTGAAAAAGAGTCTTAATTACTCAGAAGAAGAATAAAAGAAGTTCTACATACTGAAATGAAAAGTAATAATTGCAACATTCAAACAGATACTATGGGCTTAAGTTCAATTTTTGACGGTCGAATTAATTTTAAAAAGAGGTCTTTAAAGACCCCCGGGATAAGGTTGCAAAACTATTACAGTTTTCGGAAATGTTGGGACTGAGTCAGTCTTCAAGGAAATTTCGTATCGTCTGTAAAAACTTAAATATGTCAATCTATAGAGATTTTTAAAGTTGTAAGGTCTAAATAGTTATATTGATTGTCAAATCAATTGTACAAATAAGTTTTCGAAATATGAAATTATGATGTCCTTAAAATAGAAAGGTTTCTCTTTTTGGCAATGTTGCGGCTGGGTCGGCCTTCAAGGAAATTTGAGCTCGTCTGTAAAAACTTAAGCATGTCAATCTGTAAAGATTTTTAAGGTTGTTTTGTAAGGTCTACATAGTTATATTGATTGTTAAATCAACTGTACAAATATGTTTTCAAAATGTGAAATTAATAAAGCCCCTGATGATGACCTTAAGATAGAAAGGTTACAGTCCTTGGCAATGTTGGGACTGGGTGGGTCTTCAAGGAAATTTTATCTCGCCTGTAAAAAAAAAACGGCAATCTGTAGACATATTTAAATTTGTTTTGCCCTGATGATGACCTTAAAAAGTTCCGAAGCTTGGTTTTTAGTAGAGAAAATCTCGCCCGGGTCGATGCTTTGGCCGATGTAGCGCCCGTTGCATAACCGAAGTCCTGGGTGTGCCCATTGCACTACAGAATCGTCATTTATCGGCTTTCTTGTTAAGTAGAACTCCAAAGAGTCCATATGTAAGGGTGAGATCTAAAAGAGTCACCAGAAGGATTCGCCCGCATCAGGTTCTCTACCACTAGAGAGGCGTCTTGTAATAAGGCGACTATTGGCAAATCTGTTTCTCGCTTGGGCATTTGAACGATGGCTCTCTTCACAGATGAGCGATGGTTTCGTTTATGGCAATGAGATGATTGGGACCTTGTGTGGAGAAGACACGCTTTGCTTCATGTGCCATGCGTGAGTCACAGCCTTTTCAAAGACAGTCAATAATTGTATGTGGTGGAATCAACGTCCATGCCGGTACTGAACTAATTATCGTAAAAAACTAATCTTTCTCTGCACTAAGTTAAAGTCGCATTTGGGACAACTTCGTGCTGATGCTTGATAAATCTCTATTGGATGTCGCTCGAGTTGTCACAAATTACTTGGAGGATCTTGGGATTGTCAGGCCAGCACGTTCTTCTGACATGAATCCTACAGAACAAGGAGGGCAAGGAGGCAGTATAGACATCGTTCGCCGCCTACAACAAGCTTAGAACAGCTTCAAATCGCTCTTGTTGCAGAATGAAATTCTGTTTCACAAGCCGAAATTTGTTAGTTTAATTACTCGATGCTCAGGAGAGTTAATGTCCACCTTATTAAGAAAAAACTAGGTAATAAATTGTTAGTTAACATTTATTCTCTCATTAAATGATTTTCCGATGTTATCATAATTTTTCTTTCCAACCATCCAATTTATTATTTTTTATTAAACTTAACGAATCTCAAATAATTTGGTTTACAATAAAATAAGAGTGTCTGGTATTTTGTCTTTGAGTGAATAAAGCTTTCATTGCTGACAGAAACGTAAAACCCATCACCATAATGAAAGAGTAAAGGCAGGTGAAATGGAACAATATAGCTAGTTTAAGTTTTCCGACCACATCTCCCGTTTCCAGAAAGTTGAACCCCCACATAAACACCGGTTAACTTCGTAACCGCGCTCTGTTTAATTTATAACACGTGTGTAATAGCAATAATTAAACACCCCTTCTCTGAAACAGCAGATGGCGCACTATTTTCAAAATGAAATAAGCTTATGTGTTTTTCAAGTGTACCAACAGTGCTTATGGTTGACATTCCAAATTGGGTAAGTTGAGTTGGGTGTGTTGCAGCTCGGAAGACAATCCAGCCGGTAAGAAGGACAACGACAGTTACCCCCAGAAGAACAACCCCTTCCACTACAACCACCTCCTCTATAAGTAACTACGTCGTAAAATACTCCTCAGGTACATCCGCGGTTCCGAACCGATCGCACTATTCAAATTTCTCACTTCCTCGAAAATTGCTGCGCACTCAATGTTTCGCACTCCTATTGCCTACCGACACCATAATTTTAAAAGCACTTTCTTTAAGCACTTGTTTCGAAATTTTCACTGAGTATTTTGCATCCAGGAATGTGTTTTTGTAATAACATGAATTTCTTCACAACATTTTAATTGCACTTGTTTTGCACGAAAGTTCTTTTCTGTATCTGTTAACAATTGTTTTGAGTTATACTTAGAAAATTAAAAAAGAATTATTATCTCGTTGGAAAGCTTACTCGAGTAGATTACTCTACTAAGAGGTAAATTATCTTTTTACTTTGTTCAAATTACTACCTTTATTTATCCGTCCAGAAGAAAGTAATAAACAAATTAAAAAAACCATTAAAGCGAACCGAAAAGTTCAATGCTTTATTCGGCAATAATTACTTAATAAAACAAAATATTTATTAAAGTAGGCAATTTTTTACTCACGTGATTGTAAAAAATATAAACTTACAACGTATAATGCAATATTTTGCATAGTGTCCCGTGAACGTCAATACTTCAGGATAACCTATGTATAATGTAAAGTTAGATTAAAAAGTTCTTAATTTCGAAAGGACTGATTTTTATTGGATTCGGGATAATTCACTTTTCAGATGATTTCAACCTTTCAAAACTTTACTCCATAATATCCAAAGTATTTTATTATATGTTATTCCTACGTAAATGTGATTAAATAATGTAAGTTTAAAAACCTCTCCGTTGGGCATCCCGGACGAGGGTTTTTTATCTATAGTCTTGGTAGAGATCAAAACATTGTTCACAAGAAAGATTCGAACCCAGGACCTTCGACTAATTAAGCCGCTGCTCTAATCACTTGTCACGCAGCTCAGTTGGTTAGAGCAGTTGCGTATTGAGCCGAACGTCGTGGGTTTGAATCCTGCTTTGTGACACTAAATTTTTCATCTCAACCACGACTTTAGATAAAAAATACAATTAAGGGATTTTGAAAAATAACACTAAAAGTTTAATACCATAATTTTATGTATTGGATGCTACATTATTTTAAACAATTAATACCGTGTATAATGTCCTCTGTTAGCTAAAACCTCTGTGCACCTGTTAGGCATACTGTTAATAAGGTTGTCACTAATTTCATGAGGAATTTCACTCCATAGATGTTGCTACGCTCGGTGTTGCAGGTCATCTGGCTGCGGATGGTGATCGTAAAGTTTTCTGTGCAACGTATCCCACAATGCTGCTGTGCTCAATGGGATTGAGGTCTTGAGACAATGGGAGAGGAAGGGGCAGATGGGAAATTTCTATGTCTCTATTATATCTGGCACTGTCATCCAGAAATCGAAAATCCCAGCCAATGATATCACTGGTTTGAGGGATGTATTCCACGACAACTTCTTGGACATTACGGACTGCGGTGAGGTTGCCTTCAACAATATGGATTCCCGTTGGTCCTGCAGTGTAAATCCCAGCCTAGGCCATTACACCGCCTTCTCCAAACCGCACTGAAGGTAGAACGAACTGGGGTATTGTACGCATCCCCTGTTATCCGGAGATTCTTCGGATCATTAAACAGAAACGCAACTCATCGGTAAACATAATAGCATTCCCATTAGTATCTTCTTCTAGGCGCTCACTGCACCATATTCTCCTGAATTCCCGTTGGCGGGCTGTTGCTGGAAGTCCTCTCAAAGGTAAATGAAATGTCAGGCCAACTTCCCACAAACGATTCATAATTGATAATCCCCTTGCCAAAACGTCTTCATTTAGGATCTGCAGGGCACTATGGAAAGAGTTCCGTCTTGCAGGATGACAATATTTCCTTCCTTAGCGTCGTATTGCCCTGAGATCCACTACCAGGCTTATTTATTGGCACTTCGGCCTCGGAATGGGGCTAAATCCCTGGAGACCACTCCTATGAGAAACGCCAACCGCCTGTGTGATAACCACTTGCCGGTGACCTCGATGATTCATTCGCAAAATAATGTTGCATACTACTGGTTGGAGATGATGTCTTTCCATAGTTCAAGAGAATACAACAGCATTAAAATGGAGAAAAGACGACAAAACGAGTTAGTTCACAACGTACAAGAGTATTCTTCATATTTACTATTCTTAACTAAATCCGTTATTAAAAATCAGGATTAATATTTGTGTTTTTGGTTTTTATATTTTTTTGTTTTATCCCGCTAACAAGAATATATATTGATTAATTTAATTAAAATTATTATAATAAGAATAAGTTAGAAATATCCTTATTCTTTTTAGAGCACTTTATATGGTATCATGTGCGTGTATGTGCGTGAGTAATGTTGGACAAATAAAACAGAAAATAGCCACGAGAATGACCCAATAAAAAGAAGATTGTAAGAATGGAAAGAAAATTTCAGATTTGGCGACAGATGCACTGGAAACACATGAAAGTTTTTTCTTTTTTTCTTAAAGTTTGACTCCCCTGAGATCCTCGGGAGAGAAATGACTTGCTAAGGCGGCTACTCTTGGAAAAGCTTTTTATACAAATTACGCCCCATACTTGCATCTTGCAAGCGGATAGATTGCGCTCCATCTCGGTACACTCGAGCATTCTTAATGTGTACCAAAAAATGGAAAAAGGAAAAAACGAGGCAGGAGGGTAAGGGCGCAAACGTTATCCGGCAAACCGGCAAAATAAACTGTTTTTATAACTCATAACTAATGTTACCTGATTTGATTTTCTTCAGTTTTAAATGTTAGTTTAAAATAACGCATAAACTTCAAGTTAATCAATGGATAAAGTAAGGCTACAAAAACATGGAAACTTCTCAATTTATGTAATGCCAAAGAATGTTATTTATTTACTTTTTGTTATTTACTTATTTATTTACTTGTTAATGTTTGTACTTGTTTAATCAATATGCCATGAGGATGCGATATAAATCGCCGAAAGCTTGGTTGAACCCTAAATATCATCGATGAGACCTTACGATTACCCCAAGTATAATAATTTAATTACTGCATGTCGAAAAAATTCCAACTGTATATAAGAACTCCGGAAACTCGTAAGAATTTATATTCTAAATGATTTTTTTTTCTTATGGCCACAATAGAAAACAAATAAATATCATAGGGATTTCTATGTTCTTTCCATTAGTGTAATCAAATTTACAATAGGGTAAACATATTATGAAATATAGTGAATATGAAAATAAATATAAGATAAATACATTTATCTCAACCAAGACATTAAACAGAAAGAATAATTAATTGAAAGAAGTAACATTGTCAATTGACCACTAAAATGTAAATGGTTTATGAAATAAGTTGGACTTGGATAGAATAAAATTGTGAAAGGTTGGACTGAGTTGCAGATTGGTATATCTTGAATGCAATTTAAAATCAAACTTTGGACAATAGGGATTTTTAGTCCAATTTGACATGTAGGATAACTAGTTGAAATATTGACGCCCGTTCATGAGACACACTGTGTATAAGACGTATAAAAGATCATAAAAAATGAATTAAAATGTAAACATTAAGTCAAATGACGACATTTACTAATCACAAAGCGGAGTGTTTTCCACCAGGAATATTCCTTGTGTCATTGCAAAAACATCAGAGAATGCTTAAACTTGGCTGGGAAGTACTACAACAGCCACTTTATTGCTCCTTTATATATTTTCTTATTCCGGGCTCTGCCAAACATTAATAATGATAAAAACGTTTGGTCTCTTGATAATTGCGGTAAACTCATACAGGAAGTTCAAAACTAGAGAAATTCTTCGAGGACGAAATGACACTACAAATGGCTTCAGATAATGGAATGAAATAGTTCATATATTGTTGATTAAATGTGTTTGGAAGTACCGAAAATGATCATTAAATTAAAAAACCTACGGACATTTTACAACCAGAATAATAACTGTTTTCAAAGGATGTAATAATATATTTAGTATTGACATAATATATTTAATTTCAAATTATGTTTTAAAATTAAACAAATAAAATTTATATATTAGTGTCTTGAATCAGGACAATCATGTAGCAAAAAAGCACTAAATTAAAAACTCTTTTAGGGTAAACTGCTCAATAAGCTTGCATCAAATATAAGGTTTATCAGCGAAATATATCATATTTTTAAATTGGTAGTACTCAATATAATAGAAATTGAACATCTAATGCAAAACGTAAACGTGAAGTCGAATGTAACTCCATTTTTAACGCTATATAATAAGTGTAATATTTAAATTGTTTTATATATATTTTTTATCGACCACTGATTATTTTGATTAAACATTAAAAAACAAAATTACAAAAAATTAGTTATTACCATTCTTTTCTTATAAACACATTTCAGTTTTAAATTAAAAAAAAATTCTTACACCACGTGAGTTTTCATAAAAGACATGACCTTTTCGCTTTACTTTAGCAATTTTTATTGAAAAACTAAATATTTTCTAAAGATAATTTTTCACCCAACATCTGCTGTTAGTATTTTAATAACTTGGGGCGTTAAGACGATTTGGTGATTAATGCATTTCAAATGTAATGCTCTTTTTTTCCCACATTTTCTAAGGTTTCTCTTCTAAAAAAAATGTACCAACCATTCAAAAATTCATTTTGTTCTACACATATTGAAGCTTTATTATAAATTTAAAATTATCGCCTGAAGGTTAGAAATAAAAAAATTACAAATGTAATGGAATAAAGTAAAAAGATTTAATTAATTAAGAAATTTTGAGTTTCTGATATCATTTTAAATTTATCGTTTCGGAGTTATTTATGTTTATTTATATTTTCCTTCATAAGTTGAAAACTTCAGTTTATCGTGTGAGCGATTGCTCTTGTTTAAAGTTAGGTTCTAAAAAAATAATTAAACTTTCTTGTTTTATTCAATAAAATTTTACAATTATTCAATTTTTTAAAAAGTTACATGATAAATTCAAATTACCGAGTTTTGAAGAACAACTGCAATACATCCAGAATGAATCGATGAATATTTGAGATTTTTGGTATCAATTTGTTTTGAATGGAAAGAAATATCAAACATTTGAAAAAAGTAAGGTATTTTAGGTGAGAATGGATTACTAGGTCGGCTATTTATTAAAGGTCTAACAGCACCACATTTGAGCGAAAAATTACCTTGTGAACGATATTCTATTTCCCAATGAAATTAAAGAGAAAATTATAAATTTCTCGTCTTTTACAAAAACCAACACTGCATAACAAACAATTAGCCACTTAAAATGAGATTTAAATATTACACGACCAATACCTTGTAAAATTTAGAATATTACCAACCCAAATATTACCAACCTGTCTATCTCAATTTGTAAGACAATTCCTTAACAAGTGTTCTGTCACTGCATCATGTGAATGCTGCACTAGATCACCTCTTTTTGTGACTTTGTTCTTTATCTTGTAGTCATATTAACATACAGAGATTTTTTGTTTTAGGCAGAAGAATTGACCCCAGCTGGACAAGCCACCAGTTTCTATTGACTGCTATTTTAATCTTGGACAGCGTTCTCTTCTACTGTTAGCAGTCAAAGTTTGTTTTTCCCGTTGTATTTTTTTTTTCTGTCAATTATTGTCAGCTTGTGAGATACGATTGTTTTCCATTTGAATGACTGAAAAGTAAGATACAACTTTTACAAACTGACAATAATAAAATATGTTGGCGGTTTTTTGATATTTTTTACATTACTTGAAATTAGAAATTGTATCGAAAAAATTAAATAAATTACAAATAAGTTCATGAACACGGAATACAGCATATCTTTGTCGATCAGTCATTGTAGGCGTTTTATAAGTAGATGATGACATATCATTTCATGTTAAATTAAAAATGAAAAGTTTTCTACAAATCAGGTTCACTCGATAATTATTTTATATATTTTTTCTAATAATTGCTTTTAGTGAAAACGTGGCTGTTAACAAAAAATTTAAGTTTTTCCAAGATTAAATTCAATTTCAATCATTGTAAATATACTCAATGTGCCAAATGTAATCGTTGTTTCTTGTTTTCTTTTTTCGATATTGTTATAGAGATGTTAAATTTGTAGGAAGATGCTTAATTTTTGAATAGGTTTATTAACTGTTCTGTTGTATGAATGTTTAAAAATTAAAGTTATTTTCATAAAATTTGTTGTTTTTGTTTCATGTAAAATTTGGACCTGAAATAAATCCTGGCCATGGTAGTAAACCAAAATTTACCTTGTTCAAAGATTGATAATTTTTCCAAACCATAAAGGCAAATTAAATAAAAATTATTACATTTTTTCAATTGTTTAATGAATTTTGGAACAAATGTAAATTTCTTGTAAAGTTTTAAACAAAATATGGCTATTCGTACAAACCAAGGGCATCGAATGTAAGATGTAGCTGTAAGTTATAAACATTTTGTTTTTATAACGGCAAACTTCAGATAATTTTCTTCCGACGATAAAATTGTAGAAATCAAGCCAAACGTTCAATGAGGGCCGGGGCGACTGAAAACTGATGTTACACTCCCTTGGTGAGTTCTTGAATAAACAAAATTCAATCTTTCACCGGGAGTGGGTAAATAATTTGTTTGGCGAGGAGGGTGAGGAAGCAAGCTGTAGATGGAAGTGGGAGGATTACCCTCGAGAAGTAAGGGATGAAGGGAAAACAAAAAGAGGAGGAGAAACCGCATTTTATATTGATACTCGCAAACGCTGGCAATTTATTAAGCAAATATTGTATTAAGTATTATCAAAGCATAATTGGTCCTGCTTTCTCTTTTTCGTCGTTACTTTCCTCTTTCAGAATATTTTTGAGGGATAAACCATCTTTCAGTGCACGATGACACGTGTATCTAGATACAAATTAAATCGGAAAAGAGCTTTCAACCCACACACACACACACACACACTCTTCTGTTTAGGTCTGAGAGCTTTGAAAATTTCACCAGGTTCATCTTTCCTGACCATCTTGGTAGTGTACGAACAAGGGCTTAAACACGCATTAGCTACAACTTCACGAGAGTTAAACCCGAAACGAAACCCCATCACCCTTGTTTTTGATTTACTTTTCTCTAAAACCTTTTAGAAGTACTTAGATGAGAAACAAAACAACGCACATATATCTACTGCATATATTTCATGTGTGCTAAGACGAGATTTAATTCTGAAGCACACCATGTTTAACACCATTAAAAAAATTACTTTTGCCTGTAATGACTGTTCAGCAATGAGCTAAGTATGATTATTTTTTTCGTTGGTTTCCAAGATGTCAAAAATAAATCCTAATATATAAAAAATACCAAATCTAATATTTCCAAATTATTTGACTCATTTTCTTGACACCCAGGGTTCAGTTTTGTTGAAATCACACGTGTACTATTGTATATTCCTTTTCAAAATGTCATGAAATATTTGATATTTCATAAAAATGAATATAAAACTTTAACTTGTTTTCTACTTTAAAAGTACTTACTAACTACTACTTACTTTGGAAAAGCATAAAACCACGACTGCTTGGCAAAACCATTAAACCGAGTTTGGTTTTGTTATTCCTTTGAAATTAATATTAAAATTGATCGTTCCATGGTATGTTTATCTGTTTGTAATGTGTTTTTTACTGTTAATAATCTCAATTAATCGAAAGTTTACTAGAAATACCTTTCTACAAGAAAAATTCGAAATTTTAAAATTACAATTTGACATCACAAGAAACTAACCGACAACTATGCCTATGTAAAACGTCGATTAAAACTCATAACGTTAACCCTGCCAACGTCAATAAGATTGACGAACTAAGTTTTTAATTATATAATAAAAGTGGATCGACGTAGTTTCTAGATTAGGAAGATTTTACGGGTTCTTCCTGCGTTTACGATCTTTTTTAAGTTTAAAGTGGAGGATATCGTTAAAATAACCCTTGTAAGACTTAGACCGTGGTATTAAATTTATAGTAATTTATTTATGTTTGTTACATACAGCATTTTATCAATTTTATCAATCAAAATAATATAACATAGTTTTTGTTCTCTCCTCAATCATCCTTAATATTTAAAAAACAGTCGACCCGTGACCTGCTCTCAGAGAGTGCTATGATTAAAATAGTTGATGAGTTAGAGTTAGTACCACTACATTGTTTTTCCATTCGTTTGAAATTACTCACAATTTTTGTATGATTATTGAGCCTTGTTGGATTTTTTCCTCAAAAAATAAAAATAAAATAAAATACAGGGGGGAAATGCTGAATTAATTTTGATGAAAGATTCAACAAATGCATACTGATATAAAAGTTATTGGGAAGCATGAAAAAACAAATATTACACATTTTTATGTTTAAAACATTAGTAATATTATTTTCTTTAAATTTTATATTGATTTTTCTGTACTTGGGAGATAGGGAATTTGTAAATAGGTATTATCGATCTAGAACTTGTGTAAACTATGTACGTAAACTATTAACTTTTGTGATTAATAGTTTTTTAGTGTTAAATATCTTTCTCAGTTTAAAGTATGTTTTTTAATTTTTCTCCTTTTTTTAAGTTGGTATTACGTACAAATTTTTGAACGAATAAATTATAGGTTTCTAAAACATGCTTGTTCTGGAAAAAGATAATTATCCAGAGATTCGTCTTTTGTTATTATTGCATTAACGAATTTTGGTAAAAAAGAAGTCATGAGTTTATAAAAGCCTTCTTTTGTATCAGCCAAAACGGCCCTCTATGACCCGAGCCAGTGTGCCTTTCCTCCCTTTTAAGCCACCTTCTTTTAGGCAAAGAATTATAATAATGTTTGTTCATTTGCATAGCCTCCATTAGAATTCATAAACTGACCCTTAGAGAAGAAGGGTCCAATTAAACCTCGGTAAATGTGCTTGTCATTAAATCGCCCACTTCTTCTGTTTACACAAAAGCTTGCTTTTAATTGAAATAATAACAACTGGTATTACCCTTTTGAAATTCATTATAGAAGACATCACAAATTTAATTGGTTTTTATAACCGCAAATAAAAAGAATTTTTTGAAAAATTATTATTATTAAATAAAATTTATTTTGACTAATATTATCCGAAGTCTTTTTCTAGGAAAAAAGACCGCCATTATTTTGAATCAGAGGGTCATACTCTTTGTACATTTCTTGCGCATTAATGATCTATTATTTGGGGTAATGTCAGAGCCTTCCCGATATTGCTCTGCATGCATAGTATATCAACCTGATTGATAAACATGTTGCTGTGACCTTTAACCCCCAACAGATGATTATACGATTCCTAGAGTAGAGGAAGGTGTTTTTAAAATAAAAAATAATGAGAGTTTTGAGAATCCTTTTATAAGTCTGTCAGAATGAGAAAGCTATCTGAAAATTCCCGATTTGCTTCCGCTGGGAAAGTCGTACCAACACTATTGGGATTTTGAACCATTTGAGAAACCAAGAGGCTTTGTCCTGTTTCAAAGTTTTTTTTAGGTATTTCGTGCCAAAGAGGCATCTGTTAGTCATAGCAACCAATGAATTTTATACAAAATTTAAATTAATTATTATTTTTATGTAGCCTTGGTTGAGATGAAAAAGTTAGTGCCACGAGCGAGATAGGAACCAACGACCATCGGCTCAATACGCCGTTGCTCTAACCACTTTAACTATCGTGATCCCGCTCGTACCCTACATAAAAGGAATAATTATTTGAAATAATTAAATGGTCATTAGACCACTAAACGTAAATGAATTTATACGAAAAATTAAAAACAATATAGATCCAGTACTGATGTAATTCTTATAGACACAAAATAATTGGAAATAATAATAATTTTTTATAGTATATTTTATGTGCAAATATTTTTAAACAGAGCTTTTTTAAGCATAACCCTAAAAAATTTATATATTTCGGATTTTATTTTAATTAATTTAATTTTCAATATTTGCGTACATAACTAAGGTCTTTATATAGCAAACTGTTTACAAAGGAGTCTCTATTTCAATGCGACACCAACATTTCTCCAAAGCGAAGGGTTAAAGAGAAAAGTTTAAATGGTAAGTATAGTTTTCCACTAGAATTTAAAATATGTTTTCTAAACATTTTATTATTGTCAGGTTAGTTGAGTTTTTATTTCAAATGAGATTTTTTTTTCAACAATTTATTTTAGGCTTGAAGGGTAGATAAAGGATGTCAACATTATTTCCACCATTGCGACTTAAAATGTCCTAATGTGGAACTACTATAAATTATAACTTAATCCATATATATTGGCGGTCACAATTGACCCTATTAATTATTCTTTTAATATAAGATCTTGGTTGATATAAAAAATTTTGTGTCACGAGCGGGATTCGTACTACAACCTTAGGCTCGTGTTCGTCTCAAGCAAGTCCTTGATTGGTATAATTAATATGGTCAATTATGACCGCTAACATATATGGATATATAATTTAATATTTAAAAAACGTAATTATTTCGCTAACACTTCCCCGTGGCCATAAAACGGTGAGAATCAAATCCTGAATACACGACATTTGAAAATATGGCAGAAAGAGGTTGTTCAAAAGGTTGTAAGTTGGGATGAGGAGTTCTGTCCGAATAGATCAAGGTCACGATAGCCCAAGTGGTTAGAGCAGCGGCGTATTCAGCCGAAGGTCGTAAATTCGAATCCAGCTCGTGACTCTAAATTTTTCATTTCAACCAAGACCTTGGAATAAAAGAATAACTAATTGGAATAAATTATGACTATACCTTGTAAAGTGTATTTTTTCCTATAAACCTAAGTATTTTTCTAGGTGCTGCTTTGCCCACCGATTTTGGTGTTGGAATTTCCGAAGTACTATACCAAAACCGGGCAAATGATTCACAGTCACAACGGATGTGGGCCGATTTCTCTTGTTTCTTTGGAATGAGTCGGCATGTTCGTCTCTCTGCTTTGCTCATCATCTTTAGGTGGTAGTTAAGAAGGCAGTGGCCTGTATAGACGCCAATAATTGTCTTCAAATCCTGCCTGCTGAGAGCGTAGATTTCCTTCGCCTTCCGTTTTGATATATTTATAAATCTGCTTTTGTCTAGTGTTGAGTTTTTCTTTCTCAGGCCATTTTACCAGTTCCAACTTACGGTACACTTATCAGTCTTTAAGGTTCTATGGGTGGGATGGCTTCCTCT